CATAAGTAAAAAATAAAAAGTAATATTAAAATGAAAATTAACTTTTAGTTGAATTATTATACTAACAGTAAGTAATGATGTTACAATATCTTAAACTTTTACCCTTCACCAGAGGTGTAACATTAAAAGTCATTGTAGAAAACAAAATAATTTATTATGAAGATCGAAAACAAAAAAGAAAGATTGCAGTTATTTCTTGATTCATTGATTGAAGTGAAGACCTGTTTTTACAGAACATGACAAACGTTTAACTTGATATAATAGATTGAAGGATCTTGTGGTACTTTTTGTGATATAATGGATTGTGACGGATCTTGTGGTACTTTTTGTAATATAATGGATTGTGAAGGATCTTGTGGTACTTTGTGTAATATAATGGATTGAGGGATCTTGTGGTACTTTTTGTGATATAATAGATTGAGGATCTTGTGGTACTTTTTGTGATATAATAGATTGAGGATCTTGTGGTACTTTGTGTAATATAATGGATTGAGGGATCTTGTGGTACTTTTGTGATATAATGGATTGAAGGATCTTGTGGTACTTTTTGTGATATAATAGATTGAGGAATTTTGTGTGATATGATGAATTGAGGGATCTGTTTTAGTTGTTTAAATGTTGTAAGGGTTAATTTCAATTTGTTTTTTTTTATTTTACTGTAAGCAGTAGTGATAGAACTTCCATAAAGTTGTTACATTTTTTCTGTAAAAATTAAAAACCTTTGTAGACTTTGTTATGAAACTGATATTTAACTGAATACCAAAGTAGGATATTTGTTTTTAGTGATGTTACATATATAGGTTAATATTTTAAAGCTGTTATTTTACCCAACTCACAGTTCTAATAAAAGTTAATAATCACTAAAGTTCTAATCCATTTTAGACAGAGACAGGAAATTTATCAGTGAACATAATTCAGTTATTTATAGGTGGCATTCAGTTAGCTACTATTAAGAAGATTAATTGGTGATTTCCACGAGAGGTTAGTTTTGATTACATATTTCTTATATCTATAAAAATATATGTTTCAAACACTCTTACTTAAGATGTAGCTTTACTAAATTATTATTTTTCTAATGTAGCTTCATGAAACTAGTTATGACACTGGTAAAGCTCTCCAGGCCTTGGTCAGAAATCCAGTACCAAGAGGCATAGATAAGAAGTGGACTGAAGAAGAACAGGTAAGATTCCAATTTCATTGTAAATTACTTGAAACAGTTAAATAGATACAGAATGTTCTGGGCCTTATCTTGATTAAATCTTGTAATGTTTAAGCTTACAATTGTAGGGGAAGTGGTATCACTGGATCCTGTTGACTCAAATCAGGCTTCAGATTCACCGTCATCAAACTTTACCAGACTCATAATAGATCAACTTATTGTTATAAAGTTCTTATTATGTTAGGAATATTAATTACACTTTGTTAAGGTGTCATGCGATAGATAACAAGTTCCAAATTTTTCCAGGAATTTGCTCTTTTTATATGAAAGCCACCTAGTGGTACTCCTCTGTAAGTGAAGGCTATGCAAATTTGTGTATGATAAATGTTTCTTAATCTTGGGTGTTATATCTTTAAAATGGAAAAAAAATTATATTCTTATGACAGACTTAAATATATACCGAATACAACTTGTTGATAAACTCTATCCACAATTAAGGTTATCTTCTTTCTCATATGCTCTGATTGTTTCCCTAAATATCATAATATAGTACTGGTTACTTTGGTACACAAAATTTCATAACTTTAACAGAGTTCCCATGTGATCTGGAAAAACCTGAAAATTTTCAGTTTATTCCCAGGTCTGAAAAAGTTGGGGAAAACTGAGACATTATGAAATGCATGATCTGATTTAATAATAGTTAATCATATCATTGAACAACTAACTTAATTAAGATGTGCTTAATTAAATGAAATAACTGAAAGGCATGAGGATAATATAGATATGAGGAGTGATGCAAAGCTATAAAGTGTCCTTAACAATGGCTGAAATGTCCTTGAAAATTATTTCTAACCAAAGGGCACATCTGTATATTTAGCATTTCATTGAATTAAGAGTAATTGTTTAAGGTCCTGTAAACACATTTAATGATATATTAAATTAATTTACTTTAAATGCCTTAGGAACAGAACTACTCAAATGGGCATAAATTCCTGAAAAATGTGGTTCACATTTTACACTTACTTCAGAATTACTTTGTGGATTACATACTAAAGTATCTTAAGAATGATCAACTATATTCGTTTTCACGTGCATTTGTGAAACTTGTATATGAATGTTTACTATTCAAGTATCTCATAACATTTTTAATGCATCTATAAGACTGAAAAAAAAGTAAGTGTTTCATCAGTGCCATCTATAAAGTGGTTTAAATTCAATAGGATGCTTTTATAGCCATAGTTCTTCATAAAACCCCAAAAATAAGTTAACCATAACAGGGATAAGCTTAGATCCCATATTAAACATCATCAGTGTGATGATAAAATCATTTGTGTTTAGGATTTTCTCTTTTATGTTGGTGTAAAGTGTGTACACAAACATATCTGGGTGTCAAACAGTTGTAAGTTTGTAGAATAAAACCAAATTGTTCTCCTTTATAAGATAAGTTAAATGCATGTACAGTTTTGAGACAGTTTAGTTTTATTCACATATAAACACTAACAACTTCTGATCTATATTTATAATTGTACTTTAACAGATGTTTATATTTCTTTTAAAATAAGCCTTCTAACATATTTTGTTTCCTTTAGTCATCTTCTCGTTGAGAAACAAATGTTATATTTTATTCCTAGTTCTTTCCTATTTAAGTTATGAAAAAGAACAGTTTTTGGACAAAATATGATCTTCATCAACAAACGTTTCATTGTTTTTAATTATATTTATATAAATAAAGTAATAATAAATTAAACAACAATTTCAATTAATGTCCCTCAAAAATAAATTTTTATATTTGGAACAGAAGAGATTTGTAAAAGGTCTTCGACAGTTTGGAAAGAATTTCTTCAAAATAAGAAAGGAACTACTACCTCAGAAGGAAACGGTAGGCAGTGCCATGTGGTATCTACTATAGATTAGATACAAACAGATATATCGTCGTACACATTACAGGGTTGAGGTACATACCCCAGGCAGTAGTAAGCAAAGTGTGGCATCTAGTAACAGGTGAGAATCTATGTCAAGTTCCTGGATGTAGCACCTGTGGATTTATCAGACTGTTGAAATGAGCATTGGTAAACCATCATCCTTATACACTAGATGGATTATGGAAACCAAGCAGGGAAGAGTGGTTTGCTTTGGACACAATAATATAATGATGGAAGTTTTTTTCAATGGAAACTACACTGCAGGGTTATTGATGCATGGTCATCACATAGAGCATGACTGGATGTAATGAGGCTCTAGAATCATTTTAACATAACCTACTCAACCCTCTGTATTCTTTATTTTTACTTCTAGTCAAATGTTGTCAGTGTAAATTAAAATTATGCAGAATAATTATAAGGCAACTTTCGAGATCAGATATGAAGCTGAGATTAAGAATTCATTGAATATTTAATATTTTGATGCCAGGAAAAGTAATTTACTTGTATCAAGTACCTCTTACACTTCACTGTATCATAGGACATTTGAAAACATATCATCCAGTGAACATATGACATTTTTAGTAGCAATAATTTTTGGTAAAAATTTAATTAAGATTTTCTAAGAAGATATGATACTATTAATTCTTGTGTTGTAAAAGATCCAGATTGACCTATATAATAATAATAATAATATAACCCCATCTCGCTACAAGTTTGCTATTCAAATATTCGTGCATTAACAAACCCTTAAAATATTTTTTGTTTTTTGGTAAGAAGACTGAAATTTAAGAACAAATTTTATAATAAAAAGAACTCATCAAAAAATAATGTGGTACAGCTGCAATTTAACATCACCACGTCACGTTTTGTTTTTCAGCTTTTATATGCAATAAACTCATTTTCTATCATTTACTAAAAATATATAAAAAACTTCTATAAATACTGTTACATTTCATTTGATTTGTTTTAATGACCATTTTATTAAATATTTAGATCAATTTCACCTTTTTAAGTTCTTGCTTCCCCCCCTAAAATATCCCCCCCAATGGAAAACCTGGCTAGGGTTTTAATGACCATTTTATTAAATATTAAGATCAATTTCACCTTTTTAATTTCTCCCCCCACCCCACCCCCCGAGTGGAAAACCTGGCTACGCCACTGCACAACATGAAAAGTAGTTTAAATCCTGTTGTAGAATTCTAAAGATAATTCACATTTTTTTAAAAATCGAAGGTTGATTTCCTACATTGCTTCCTTCTTCGATGTCCATTTATTCGGTTGGTGAGGGGGCAAAACATTCTGCCCTTGTCCCCTTTCATTGAAGGAAATCAAAGAGATTAGCAAATGTCCAGCTTGTTAGCAAGTTAGATGGTGTTGATTTCAGTGATGACCCACATTTTACGTTTTCTGTGTAATGCAAATTCCATGTAAAATAACCGGTTTTCTCATAGCATTTACCAATTTTCAAATAAGGATTGATATGTTGAAATGTGAGTTATATTGGCAATTCATTCAAGATACCAGGGGATCCAGATATCTGATCTGGGTACTTGATCCATAATATGTGTAGATTATTAGATACAATAAATGTTCAAGGGAATGAGTAGGGCTCTAAATTTTGACTTTAGTATCATCCATGATTCGAGATAAGTTGGACATGCCAATGCTTGATTGAATGTATTTCACTTGTAATGATTAGGAAGAAATAGTAAGATTATAAAGTTTCAGAATAATTTGTGTGACGTAATTTTTGATTGGAAATTTGTTTATTTTTAACGTGTTCGCTCAGATATGTGGTTTGAAAACATTATGTCTTTAGAATAATAAATTTTTGAACAAATGTATAATGATGAAATTGGTCTACTGCTACAGTGTAAAATTTTATGTACCATATTCTAATATTTTTTCACTTAATTTTTATGATGTTTTATGTTTTAAATAACATTGTGTGGTGTGCAACTTGCCAAGTCATAATTCATGGTAATAAAATCTTTCGGCAAAATAAGTAGCGAACTCGGTAACGTCTTGTAATTGTCACAACACGTGGGCATAATATTTGTAAATCCCTATTTAATGGTGCATTAATAGGACTAAGCAATATGTTAGTTTTATTTTTTTATGAAATTAACTAATGTAAGATTGAAACATTGTAAAGAGTTTGTATTTAATGCATCAAAGACTTAACGTCTCACTACAACATACTTGTGGATGTTAACTTGTAGGCAGATTTAGTAGAGTACTACTACTTGTGGAAAAAAACACCTGCTGCTGCCACCACTCGACCACACAGACGTCGCCGTCAGAATGTTCTTCGCCGCATCAAATCTTGCCCAAAACCAAACAAGTCAACTTCAAATGAGTTTAGTGAGTGGATGTTTATTTATTATATGTGATGAGTGGACGTTTATTATATGTGAGGGGTGAATGTATATTTATTATATGTAATGAGTGGATGTTTATTATTATATGTGATGAGTGGACGTTTATTATATGTGTAATGAGTGGACGTTTATTTATTATATGTGATGAGTGGACATTTATTATATGTGAGGAATGAATGTTTATTTATTATATGTAATGAGTGGACGTTTATTTATTATATGTGATGAGTGGACGTTTATTTGTTTTATGTAATCAGTGGATGTTTATTTGTTTTATGTAATCAGTGGATGTTTATTTATTATATGTGATGAGTGGATGTTTATTTGTTGTATGTAATCAGTGGACGTTTATTTGTTTTATGTAATCAGTGGATGTTTATTTATTATATGTGATGAGTGGATGTTTATTTGTTGTATGTAATCAGTGGACGTTTATTTGTTTTATGTAATCAGTGGATGTTTATTTATTATATGTGATGAGTGGATGTTTATTTGTTGTATGTAATCAGTGGACGTTTATTTGTTTTATGTGATGAGTGGATGTTTATTATATGTGATGAGTGGACGTTTATTTATTATATGTGATGAGTGGACGTTTATTTGTTTTATGTAATCAGTGGATGTTTATTTGGTTTATGTAATCAGTGGATGTTTATTTATTATATGTGATGAGTGGACGTTTATTTGTTGTATGTAATCAGTGGACGTTTATTTGTTTTATGTGATGAGTGGATGTTTATTATATGTGATGAGTGGACGTTTATTTGTTATGTGATGAGTGGACGTTTAGTTGTTATATGTGATGAGTGGACGTTTATTTGTTATGTGATGAGTGGATGTTTATTTATTATATGTGATTTACTTCTGTGTTGTTAACTTAAAGTTTTGTAGAATTTACTAACAAGCTCAAATGTAAGAAGATTGTATTTCTTCATGATTGAAAGTCAACACTATATGTATGGTGATTTATCTGGTACAGAGAATGACTTCATTATTCTTCTGACAGAAAATGTAAATTAGTAAATAACAAGTGCACTTGGTAACTTGTTAAAAATTGGAGTTTTCAAAACCAAAGTGAAAAAATGAATTTTTATTTCGTATCAAATTATTCATGTTTTATGTTTAATTACATCATGATACATGGTAAAGTGCTACACCATATAGCCTTTTCATCGTAAATTGGACTTTCAAACCAAAGTCACATAGTGCAATTCTCCAAAATCTTACATTTTAATAAATTTCAATCATATTTAATGCTGTTACATGGAACTTTAACATGTACAGTAGACGTAAACCCCAATATTTGATAGCTAGCATACATATATATATATTTATCATTGTTTGGTTTTCATATAGCTGTCTGTTCTTTTGTTTCCATCACATTTTGGAACAAGACGTTTTAGATTTAATACACTGATCGTTTTTATCGGAAGGTCACACACAAATATTTATTTTTATTTATTCATTTTACAAGGTTACTGCCATGTAGGATAAGTAACCAAACATAACACGTAAAATATTTTATACAATCATTAATCCAAATGTAGAAAAATATTTGAAAACATAATTCGAAAACTTGAATTGAAATAATCTGGAACTAAGGGTAGTCCAAATGTTTAGGTTTAATCGATTTGAAATAACAGGAGCCAAGTCTTAAAAGTACTTTGAACTTAGAGCTAATGCACTTCTTAGACAAAAATATATATTGTGGTGACGTAAAGGGTAAGGGCTTTCTCTAGAAAGAATTAACAATTTCAATTCAGGATTAAAGGTACTGATATATTTGGCAATACAGATGATTTGGTAGGGACAAGTCTAGTAAATGGTGAAAAGACCACATTCCTTGAGTTTGTTTATAACAGTTGCATGGTAAGGAAGCCTGTGTGAGCCTCACAACCCGCTTTTGTAACATGTTGTGTGTAAGCAAGTAAATGTATTGACTTTCTAATTGCAATGTAAACACTATCATAATTGAGAAATGTTTTATAGCTGTATTACTTGAAACATGGTTATTCATGATGGAAACAAGTTTTATATTCTCCATGAACATTGACAACATTACATTATATTTTTTCTTTCTTTTTTTTTAACTGCATGTTTTATTAGTTTATGAGTGAATGATGTTTCTGTCTATCAGCTAAGGTCTTCTTAACATAGACCTGAAAAATTATGTCCTCCAGACGAGTGCAGTCCAAATCAACCTACTTTGTGTGAATCTCTGATAAAATTGACAGCATGACCACTGTTGTCTTGAAAACATTATAGTAAACATTATGTAAAAGTTAGATGAATAAGGAGATGTCACTTCTTTTTTTTATTAATTTCTATTACGTAATGCGTTATGCTTCAGTTAAAACTAATTCCAATTCTGTAAAACAGACCTGAGTTCAGCTAGTGAAGAAGAGGACTCTGATGACTCGGACTCGAGGGACTTAAGTGGTTATGTTTGTCATCACTGCTGTACTAAAAGTGAGTGTGCGTCTATTTAAAATTGAAATGTTCATTTGTCCCCCCCCCTATATTTCACAAACAAATTTCGCATATTATGATGTAAACTTAACATCGTAGTTGAACTTAATATTTTTGGTAATTTTTATTAAAACTGGATATTTGTCTTTGTATTTAAGGACACATAACACATATTCTTTTAGTCTCTTGACTTACACTGTAAAAACTGATCCCCCCACATACATACCACCCCACCCCCCGAAAATATTTCTGTGGGCATCAATAAAAATGTTTATCAAATAATACTTTGTTGAGTAGCTGGAAGCAAATTGTAATTATAATGATATTTGTACATACACACATATACATTTAATTGTGACTGAAAGAAAAATGCAAGCAAGCTATTTGGTTATATTAAGACCTAGAAATGATAAAACCAACTTGTCTTCCACAAGGTTGTTTTTAGATAGTCGTGTAATAACGTATAGAATTAATAATGTATCTTACATTTATTACTTCCATACATTATTACACTATGATCTAAAAATCATCCTTCTTTGTTAAAGCTGGGATAAAACTTTTGAATCTTATTTTAATGGTTGGTCCTTTCTTTAACAGTAAAATTCTGTTTTTCTTTTCTGAAATTGAAATGTACACATTTGACTTTTATGGTAGTTTTACTTGGTTCAATTTTTAAACGTTTTACCACCATGAGAATCCCTTTATTCAGGTTATACCATTTTGATACTAACAGGTTTAAACCATTAAGGACCTAGCCAGTTGTGACAGACTTAATTTTAAACTTTGTGTTCTCCTTTTTCCAGTCTGATTTGATGAATAAAATGTTGTATAGAAGGAAATGCAGTTGTAACATTCATTGTATAGATGTATCATGACAGTTTTATGTCTTACAAGCAAGTACCAAGTGGCTAATGACATTTTGATTTATCTTGTATTTGGTGATACAGTGATATTTCTTTTAGCATTCATATGAAAACATTATAGAAAAAAATAATAATAATATACTTTGAGCAATATTATCAAGTAGTATTCAGTGATGACATTTTAAGTCATTGTTGTCTCTGGTTGTAACATTTTAGCATCCAAGGACTGGCATCATGCAGGTAGGAACAAGGCACTACTTTGTACAGAATGTAGACTATTTTTCAAAAAATATGGAGAGCTACGGCCACTTCAGGAGAACCAAGAACCTTCTCCAATCAAACTTAAATCTGTTGAAGAAGAAGAAGAAGACCTAGCATCAGTTAATGGAACACACATCATGCAGACTCGAAGGAGCAAAGAGGTAATATAATTTTCTGGTGTATGTCTTTTCCTTTTCTTGTGTACATGTGTGTATGTCTACATATATAGCTCACAAACTATTGATTAATTGTTAATAGGCGATTAAATCAGCACTATAAAACAATAATGAATTAAATATTGCATTACTGGCTATAGACAGTGAAAGATAGTAGAAGCTGAGACATTGTGGGTGTAAGCATTCAGCTTCGAACCCTTATTTGATTTTTTATGATTGCCCATGACGACTGACGAGATTGACATCGGAATTTGGATTTTGTCTGATAGATGGGATATCTCCAATGCATTTGGGTGCTGTTACCACAGACATTATCCATTATGACAATAAGTTGACAACCAGGACCGATAACGGTAATGCGATATAAAATGATAGAATTCTTACGGAATACATCTGACTGACAATATTCGTGATAACTGAACTTTCAGTCTTGTGTATCTACCCTTCTTGTACTACTTGTTGATGTTATTCTCTAGGCTTATTGTGTTCTACCAGTATTCTGACTGTTAGTTATATGATGAGAGTTAGTGTTATAGCTTTAATAGAAATATATGATGTGCTAAAAGTTACAAGATGTCTACCTAAATTATAGTCCGTCTCTGTGTTTTAATTATATTCTGTCTGAATCACTTATTTACCATAAGGGTGTACGTGGTATGTCCACTATTTCTATTACCAGGGACCATATTGGCATACATTGATAACACAGTGATGTTTGTAGGGTTTTTTCTGCACTAACACATATAATAAATCAATCAAATATAGAATGTGTGATAAATTGTCTTGGTTAGAGAAAGGTTAATTGTCATCTTAATTTTGTCTACTCTTGTCACAGTTAACCCTTTTCAGATGGGTCACAGGTGAAAGGCCATGTCATCTCGTTTGTTGACTCGCATTCAAAATTTTATTGAACTACTATTTCATAAATTTATGTCAATAACTTTGGTATCAATCTGTGGATTATAATTCAAATTTTAGTACTATATATTACTCAATTTCTTAATTTAAAAACAAATATAAAAAAACAACAGATAAACATCAATTTTTGTGTGTCATGTGGTATTTTGAACATGAGATGTTTGTGAAGTCAAAATACTAATTCTATAGTTTGTACGAATTAGAAACTCAAATTACCAACATTGACAAGCTAGAATATAAAATAAGTGCCTCTTATGTTTTCAATTTGCTAAAATATTGCTCATGTAATAAATCAAACAGTGGCACCCTGCCCACCTCTTTCCATTTTAGAACACTCCCTTTTATAACCAATCGGAAGCTACAAAATCGTCCCCTAGTGGCTTTCTCAGTCTACGTTAATGGGTCTTGGCGTACCTATTTATTTCTTTTAGTAACCTAATTAACTTTCAAACTAAGGTAGGGTAGTGTAGTTCTTTAGTCTGTCT